GGAGTGGAGATTGCTTCTGCTTTGCATTTGAGTATAGCACAGGGAATTTCAAGAGTCCCTGATGACCAAAAGATATTTGATTATCTCAACATTGTGCAGTACCTTCTTTCCATATGCTATATTTTTACCTTGTAAATGTTTACTTAATTGTCTTAAGTATATGGTCAAAATTAAGCTTTTCTGCAAATGTTGCAAAACAGGAGCTGAACGTTTAGTCTTCCCTGTGACAGCTGATGTATGCTCAAATTTTTATTAAGTAATGTTTTTTATTTTTTTCTCTTATTTTGAAAATATTTGTAGATATTTTTGTTACTATCTTTCTGTCGCTTGTTCCTGTAACTAAATATGTACTTTAGATTTTCTGATTTTATCCTGAGATCTGTGTTATTCTTTGATGGCCATCTATAGTAATGTTTGAATACATCTGACATTTACATGATTAACTTTTGGGTTACATGTCATTAAAAGGGGTTTTTAAATGGCTACAGAAATTGATAGTATTTTTTCTTTCTCTAAAAAAAAAAAAATTACAGTTTTCTGTTGGGCTTTAATATAATCTCTTTTATAAACTACTTTCAGAATTCACTCCTAAGGACATTCACCTACCAATTACTCAAGTTTGGTAAAGTTTAGATTTCTGAAAACCATTGGCTTTATCACAATTGTGTTGCTTCATTCTTTTATTTCTTAAGAATCATAAACCATTATTTCATGGGCACTTTCACAAAAACTGCTTTTCTTATTCAGGCTCTCTACTGGTTCTTCTTATTACTTAGAGTAAAATTGACTGCTGAAGCAAAAAGTTCTTCCCCAATATTCTGAAAACTTTGCCACTGAAAATTTGATGAATCTTTTCTTCATATCCAGCCTATTCACAAGGATTACTTTTTCTTCACATGAAAAATTGTGAGGAAGTATTTTGTTTCTATGTTATCACTGCTAAAACTGATTGTGGGCTGTCTGAATGATCTCAACACTTTGTCAAGTCCATGAAGATAGCATATTTGTGCGTCTAAAAAGTTCTTTTCCAAAACTAAATCTAAACAAATAACTAATTTTATACAATGTGAATAAAGGATTACCTTTAACTTTTTTATTACCTGTAACATTTCATTTAAAGAAAATCACAACACTAATTTTGCTAGATTTTTTCACTGACCTAAAAGGAAAGTTTTTACAAAGATGGATGATCCTTGACTTTAAACATTTTTCCCTGACTATATAAGAGAATTGCAATGTTTATCAAATACATACTGATGTACATGGTAATATGGGATGATTACGGTCTCAATGCATAACTAAAATAGGATCTCAGTTCTATTTTTCAGGTAACTTTTAGTATAGAAGGGAATGTTAATCCATAATTAAAGACAGACTTTCAAATAAAGTATCTGGATTTAAGAAATAATCGCTCAATTTTCATTGAAAGTGTTTTCTTGTTTAAAGAAAGCTAAATTTCAAAAAAAACCTTAATAAAAGGTGGCCTTACATTAATGGAATCTGTGGATAAAAGTACTTTTATCATCTGGTTTCATTTAAGAAAAAGACTAAGATTGCACAATCTACTTCACAGAATGAGGAGCTGCAAAAAAAACCCCAAACCACGTTAACTAGGGAAGTTGAGAGAACAGGGAAGATCTAAGTGAGGCGTGAAGCATGCTGGTCAAAAGAATATAAATTAATTATTCATGATAAAATTGAATATTTTATCAGTAGTTTTACTTAAAGAATATTATAGGCACTTATATTCATTTTTTTGCTTAGGTGCATAAGAGTTAACCTGTACTGTCTTGCATTAGCTATGTTAAAAGTGTCATCAAAAAGCTGAGTTACAGACATTTAAGGTGGGAAATTAACAAATTACCTTCACATCTGAAGTAACTTTAAGGGGTCACATTTTTATTAAAGCTGTATTACAGGCATATTTCAGCTTAATAGAATATTACTGCCATTTCAGTAGCAACTCTGTATAGCTTATACTGAGCTTTTTATTTTAAGCAATATTAAGAACCTTCTGCTTCACAGTTCAGTGATTTAATTTATCATCAAAGTTATGACTATAATTGGAAGATTTTTAGGACACTTCCAAATAAGACAGTTATTTGAATTTCCAAAGAAAATATTCAGAAACTTTTCTTAAAACTTACAGTTGACTGCCTTTTCTTCTACAAGTGTAAGAAATGTGAAACAAATAGAAGTTTGGTTGTGATATCTTTAACATTAGCAACTTCTATAGTTCAGCCTGCAAGGGCAATCAAAATATAATTTTGGTCTCCCCTGTTCCTGGCAAACTACTGAGCACCTCCATTGGGTCTTTCCACCTGGTTTTGTTCTTTGAAAACACTGACTTCATCTGCTTAGTACTGCCATGTTACTGGTTATTGTAACTACCCTCCCTCTGGCACGTGCATGTTTGTCAATACAGAGCTGAGGCTCAAGGAAGGACGTATGTCTGATACCCACTACAGAAATGCTTCAGGAGCTCCCAATGCTGACTGGTATGAGAAGAGCATACTCTAGAGCATACTAGAGAGAGGCTGCAACAAATTCCAGTTGCATTACACGAACACATACAACACAATGCAACATGGAGAAAATTTTTGTTTTGTGACAAACCTAGTGTGAGAAGAAACCAATATGAGCACTGAGGCTGTGATTGACTTAAGGAGCCTTGTGAAGCAAATGCACTGACATAGGTATGAAGTGTTTAGCAAGCTTTCTCTGTACAACTTATGCTGTGAATATGGACATAGCCATTCCAGTTGGTGATAGGTAAAAAGTCTCTGTTTATATTGCGTTTTTTTTTCTACAATGTGCACATTCAGGGCAAGATACCATTTCAGTTTAAGATGCTTCCACTGATGTGTCTATAGGCTTGTTTGGTCTTTAAGCTCCTTTCATAGTCAAAAGAGGTCTGATTAACCCAGTCGGGGCAAACTAGGGAACAACTTACTCAGCAAAGTTACAAGGAGAGAAATTTTATTGTCTCAATATACATTCCTAGTGCCATTCTATCATAACCAGGATGTCTCCATGGAACTGGTAGACATGGCAAAGGACTTGTGCAAGATCCAAATCTCTAGTGCAGCACTTGGCACCCAGGTGGAATAGTACCTAAAATAACTCTAACTTTCCATGCTTAGGCAATCAAATACAGCCCCTGGATTCTACTTCAGAGTTTACTGAATTGCTCCCTGGACTCGGCTGATTCCATTGACCAGATCTCCACTGCCCAAAATGTAAGCTTCAGGCTCTAGACACTTCTATGTTGACACTTAAATTTAAATGTTTAATCTGCCAGCTGTATGTCATTCATGATGACATAAAAGCTTAAGAGAAACAGCAGTCACTATCTGTAACTAAGAAAGGATATTAAGCTTTTTGTTAATATCTCTTGAAATTCAATTGTCAGATAACTATTTAATAGGAAATATAATTCACAAAAAAACCCCAATCTCACTCCTTAAACTGAGAACTTACTTTTTTAAAAATTTCATTTCATCTTCTTATTCATTTCTAATAAAAAATAATACTAGTACCCCTTTTAAATGCTAATGTTTAAATGTTAATTCTACTGAAAGAGAAAGATGCTTTATTCAGGGACTCAATCTGCTCAGAAGAGCCTGTGAGGCAAAATTTTTAGCTTTTGTTATGCCTTTAAAAATTGGAAGTATATTAGCTTTTTATAGAAAAGGCTTTTTTAAATTATTATTCTATGCATGGGAACCATACGTAAAAGAAGATGAAGATCATTTACTAGCCTTCTGTTTTCTTTACTTGTTAAAGATCTTATTCCATTTCAAGATTTAAACTGCACTAATCAAATCTAATTCTGACATTTTATCAGGCTACCTTGAGACATAAAAAACTAGTGTCATGTGAGATATTAAATTTTTCAACAAAGGTAAAAAGCAAATATACGGATATTGTTCTAAATAATTTCAGAATTAGACCCTCCTCTTTAGGAATGTGTAGGGCAGATACCTTATTACTAACTGTTTTAATTTTTAACAGAAGACATCTACCTGACAGGGGGCTTAAAATAAAACAGAAAATTATAAATGTTTAAGGACTGTCTTACAAAACATAACAGCAACATTTATATCCAATACAATCACGGAAAATCAGCATCTGCAGGTAACTCATGCAGAAACCTACCTACTGTTCCTTGTATTTACATAATTTAGCGGCCTTGCAGCTTTATTATTATCTGCTATTATCTGCTCAGCCATTACCACCATATCTGAGCCAAAGCTAAAACAAGCTATGAGGAATTTCAAAGTTTTGATGTAGCTATGAAATGTAAGTTTGGCACTCGTTCCAGATTCAATGTGATAGCAAATCTACTGCAATCAGATTAGTTTCCAGATAAGAACAATTGATAAAAACAATGTTATTTGTTTAGCACAACCTCACTAAACACATAAGCTCTCTTTATTCAGTACTTAAGTGGTGCCTATACTATCATATAAAGATCAGTGTGGCTTCAGTCCATTTAATATATGTCATTTTATGTATCTAATTTAAAAGAACATGCTATTATAATGACCCTGTAGTTCACAGGGAGATATTATTATGCATTTATTTGCATTTTGGAATCATCATGGATAAGGCCCAATTCTGCTTGGTACTGCAAAAGTGTATTAAAGCCAAAAAAAGAGAAAAAGTTAGAGAGAAGGTGGGGGGGGGAAACCAAACAAGCCAAAAAAGAACAATATATCTTTACCCATAAGGGCAAGATTCTAAAATTACTTTCCATTTAGTTAAAAACCTAAGTCCATAAGTATTCTGAGTAACATGCAGGAACTCATGAAGAAAAAACTTCCAAAATGAATTCGTAGTTTCAGAATTATCTGTCAGTACATCACAGAATAAACATAATTTGTTCTTATACAAATATAATTACTGAAGTTCATTTTTTCACATTTGTTTGCTCCTTTTCAAATTGAAAGTTATTTTCAAAATTAAATAAAAATCTATTGGAGAAACATGAGACTCACTCTCATAGTGAATTAGGAAACCAACGCTGGAGCGACTGTTGTCTGTAGTGAACAGCAGATACATGTAATTTCCAGTACTGATAAGGAACTGGGGTGCTTGTGTTCCATGGTATTCTCCAATTAATGGTGACGAGTTAGCTGGCCCATCTCTGACTTCCAAAGTATCATAATTAACTTCAGTCTGAAATCTGAAAAGGAACATGCAAGTCAGCTGGTAGGTAGAGAAATGGTGTTATTTTCTTTAACTGTTAGAAAGGCAACCCATGTGTAACTGATCAAGAATATCATTCATATAAAAATTTGCCTATCTACGGATCCATTGGTGTATTACTGAGGATAACAACTAAGGAAAGTTTTAGCCATGTTTTTCCTTGCTTTGTTGTGTCTGGTATCATATAAAATTCATAAGGGGTGTAATATACTTCAGATCAACCATATGAGTGTGCGTCAGAAAGACATTTAGTAGGGAATCTGGGTACAAAAATGCCAATTGTCTCAAACAAAACTGCATTATGAAGATCCAAGAAATTTCTTGCCCTCAGGCTAAATAATAGTTGGGCATCCTAGGAACATCTTCAATAATATTTCATTATTTCATCTCAATAATTTCATTATTTGATATTTGCTATTTGGCAAAAGCTGTTTTACATATTCAACTGTTTAATTTTTTTATCCAAAGAATTTTTTCAAACGTAGTTTGCTACTTTATTTTTAAATAATTTTGTTCTATGAAGTAAAGCAGTACAAAAATACTAAACTTAAATCAAGCCCTCATTTTGAAATTTGTTACACTTATAATAAGCAGAATTCCTTAGTTTATCTTGATGTGTCAAAAAAACAGATAATATAGACAAGAATGGAAAAAGAGAAGGAGGCTAATGAGATAGCTGATTTACAAGAACAAATAACTTCAAAATCAAGAGCAGAGTCAATGCCTGTGTCAATCACTAAACCACATCACATTTCTCCAGTTCATAAAGGATGTCTATGTGTGCAGTCATCCACTACTAGCTGTTCTTAAATCAAACAGCTCAAATCTGCTCTTTCTGTAGATGAAACTTTGACTGGCATTTTTCACATCAGATGCTTTTCAAGACAGTTTGTGGTTATATCAGATCCTGTTGCAAACTGCAGCATCTAAACTATGCACACATCAATTTTCCTGTCAACAAAGTTTGTGCTATTACATAGATATCTATACTGGCCCAAATGTATTTGCCTGCAAACCCAATATTCTTATTTTCATAAGATGTTAATCTTTCAGAAATGCATATGTTCTGAGATTTTCTTTTCTTTTCCCACAGGGCTTATTACTTCGACTGCTGAGAGCAACAAACTGTGTCCTTATACAACACAACACTTTTTTCAAAGTGAATGCCCTTGAGCTGTCTTGCCAATATGGGACACATGTTTAGTGGGTCTGGAGATAAGAAACTGTGTTCTTGTAATTGAAGAAAACTGCAAATTATTAAACATTGAGAAAAAGGGAAATATAAGGGACATTCCTGCAAAGTGTAAATAAACTTTGTTAGTCATGATGACAGAATGAACAAGTTCCCCAGCCAGGCCATTATATTTTACAGTCCAGTTAGCATTGGTCATGTAAAATCATCTTCACAGACACATCAGTAACAGTAAGTTCACATTTAGCAAGTATTTAATAGTCTCTATAGTTCTTCACTCATGATTCCCTGAAAACAAAAGCACATTCAGAAATCGGAAAGTATTTGTTTGCTTAACTATCAGAGCTAATGACTGCCTGGACACTGCCTTAGGCCCTTCATGTCGTTCCTTGTTCTTCACACAGAAAACTCTGGATTTATGGTGCTTTCAACCAAACTACCTACTCTACTTGGATATGTTGGGTAAAATCCATGATTGCTTTCACTGCTATCTATCCAGTCTGACAGTGGAATACAGGGCTTGCAGGCTTGCTAATACATTAAGCATTTTCAGGACCAGTTTCTGGCAGTGAAGCCAGCTAGCATGGAATGGCCTATATCCATACTATTAAATACATCCTTTAGCCTCTCCAACAGGGAGATATTATTCAAATTTCCTATTATGAATGGTTGCTTGCCCACACTAACTCCTGGCCATGCTTGATAATTATTTGGGAGAATGCTAGTTGGCAAGCTCAAGAAGTATGTTAGGGACTATTTCAACACTTTCACTGCACAAATACATGAGTTCTTGTGTCTGGGAAGGTTCTCTGATTCTGTTTAATTTATCAAAATAGACAGTCACAGAGGGCATCACTAAAGTACTTGACAGTTTTTTGGTACTTTTCCATAATTTCAGAGATTATACATTGATTTACCCCACAGCAGAATGAGGAAAACTGACAGATACGGCTAGGCTGGTTTAAATACTGTATTTGTACTCATAATGAATGGACTCAAGATAAATAATTCAATAGTCCAATTATTTTAACAGTCATGTTTGTGAGGGAAACTAATTAGGAGTAAAGTGCTCTCAGCCAGCAATTGCAGTTTTCTTAGCAGGGCAGAATGACAACAGTGGGTTGCAAACCCTTGCTGGAGACAGAAAACTTAAAATAACTCTTACAGGAATTGCTACCTATTACAACAATCTTTATTCCCAGTAGGTTCTTGCTCATCTCAAACTTAGAAATTTGTTTCTAGTTCACTTGTCTGTTTTCAAGAGTTTGAGGGGTGGGGGGTGTTTTTTGGGTTGGTTTGTTGGTTTGTTTTGGTTTTTTTTGCAATCTTTGCACTGTCACTGAAATTATAAATCAAGATAATTTATTACTGGAAGTTATTCATCCTTACTGAAAGTACTTAATTAGGAGTTACTTTTTGGTTTGTTATTTTATTTTAATGTTTATTAGCATACTTATGTTAGTAAAAGGTAGGACATTCTCCAAATGTTCACAAAGAATTTTAAAAAGACTTCAGTAATGCTATGTTATTCTGTTCTTCATACATAGTTAGGTAGGTTTCGAATAAGTAGGTTTGTTTTATATACTATTCAATGAATTTTCATCAACATTTTAAGTACCAAAAATCTTCCAGTCAGCAGTTATCCTTCTAGTCCCTTTCCTTATGGCCTGAATCAATTAGGTTTTACTTTTTTGTTACCCTTCCAGGCATTAGTCATGATCTGAAATGCAAAATGTTTCAATGTAAAATGTTCATAGGGTTATTCAGTCATTTGCTGCTATTTCTGGAAAGTTTCTAAGTAGTCTGGTAAGGCACATTTGTCTACCAACATTAAAGCTTCATTAGCTCAAAAGTGAGATAATTTACTTTATGAATATCACATTCGTGCAAAGTTTCATTCTGGCAGCTGTATCTGTGATGGCAAGTCATATAGCAAAGTATAAAAGGGTTCTATTTTCCCCAAACTAGACAAAATACTTGACAAAATATTGTACTTGTCAATGAATTGACAAATCAATTAATTGATCTTTTTGATTTATTTGATAGTGATTTTGCTTACTGATTTGTAATTTGTTAATGTTATATCAGACAGCAGAGTTAGTTTCCTGTAAGTAATAAAAAGGTTTTCCATCCAATTTTTAAATGGGTAGCAAAGCCTTCATGTTAACAAAAGAAAATAACTTTATTGTAAAAGGGAGATTATTACACTATCATTAACTTCCCAAAGTATAACACTTATAATGAAATTTATAATGTAGTGTAGTAAAGCTATACAATTTTCTAAACCTGCCAGGAAAGCTCCATAAACCTCCAAAAAAAGCAAGGAAAGGTTTCGTCTCTGTCTACCAAAATCAGCATGCTTAATGGTAATACTGTTTTGTAATTTAAACATTTAGGGAAGGGACACAGAATCCTTCTTTTAATAATGCTGATATAAAGCTGGAGTAGGTTAATTTACTGTCTGCTGTACTTTAAAACTTATAAAAGATCAGAATTGTCAATTTTGTATCAGGGTAAAGGCCAAGTTCTTGTTTAATTTCATTGCAGTTCAATTTGTACACAAAGCTGTAGAATTCTGTTAATGGAATGTGTGTGTGCATCTGTCTAAAATTCAGTAAATTTAGTTCTTAAATGGGACCATATGTCACAGGAGCCCATGTTTCCCATTAATTTCCTCAGAAATATAGTGGTCATACTGTTAAGGTCATAATCAGTCATCCAAATATCTGCAACTTTAGGCAATGCATTTCCTTTTATAAAATGCTCCATCTTACAACTAATTTGGCTGTTTGCTTTCACTGTATTTGGGAAGACATCCCTAAAACTCAGGCTTCTGGTGATTAATTTTTTTTAAAAAGCTGGCACATAAATATAAGCTTATAATTAATATGTTAAGTTTTTAATGAAAAAAAATCTGAAACTTAAAATTCTGGAACTTACTGCTGAATCCAATAAAAGCAAACAACCTTTTGTTGTTTTCAGAAGTAACATGATAATTTTATGAAAACTGTTTATACAGTTCCCAGTCTTCTCTGACCTTAATGTATTTATAATAAGAAAACAAAACAGGATTGGAAAAAGGATATGGTAAACTAAATATACAACCTATTTTAATCTTCTCCCTGCATTACATTCCATGCCTCTAACCATGTTCACAAAAATCTTCTATGCATGTGTTAGTTTTCATTCATATTTCTTGACAAAGGGTGATCAGAACTTTAGCAGCTCAGTGGCCAGTGTAAGTTCAAGATGCATCATTTTATATATCAAGATGGAATTCTTTTTCTTATATGATTCACTTTGCATTTACTTAATCTACCTGCAATTTTGTTGCCCAGGCATCCAGTCTTGTAAGAATTTTCAGCAATTCTTCAGTCATCACTTGTTTTTAATATCCTGAATAACTTAATATTATTAGACTTTTTTTCTCCTTTTTAACATCATTTTTGAACATGCTGAACAGTTTTGAACATAACACAGATCTCTGTAGAACACCAAAAATTCCAACTGTGAGACTTTTATCGTCTGTTAATCAAGTTTTTATTCAGGCAATGCCCATCCTTGTATTAAAATGATGCTTAGCTTTTTAATAGCCCTTTGCAGGGTGAGGTGCAAGATACAAAACTTGCATTTTGAAAATCCAGGTAAACTATATCCAACATATTTCTATGCCTCCTGACACCATCAAAGAATTCCAACAGGTTTCTGAAATAGGATTTCTTTTACAAAAGCCATATCAACACTTCCTCAGTATATCATATTTATCCGTGCTTCCACTAGTGCTACACTTTACTATAGTTTTTGTAGTGGGCATCCAGTATGCAGTTCCTTAGATCTCCATGAAAGACTTACAAAACACACAGTTCCTGAAGTGCACAGGTATCAAGACAGTTTTAAAAGAACAGTTACAGTTACACGCAACTTTCAATTCTTCAGCCACCTCATCTTTGTACTCATTCAGGACTCCTGGGTGAATGTTCTGTCTAGTTCTGGTGACTTGCTGTTCACTTTGTCTGTATATGCCACCATCCCTCAATGGCACCGCAGTCTGAGACAGATACTCCAATGAGTTCCCCAAAATGAAGAATGTTGTGAATGTTAAGTTTACATGAGTGCAAGAGGAAAACAAACAAATCAATGGAAGTGATACATACAGAAACCCACTAAGCACATTTAAAAAAAAAAACGACCTTTCAGTTCAGGAATGTCCTGAGTTGCAAACTGGAGAAGTACTTAGTGGAAATACCAGATACACTTATTTGGTCGTCACACTCTTCCCTAGGATTCTGCATTTTTGTCCCTCTGAGGAATACAATATGGAACAAGATGGATCTTTGATTTGACCCAGTAACAGTCACTTTTACATTCTTCTCCCCTTCTCTCCATTAATTTTCATGTCTTTTTATTTCTGCTCTTAGAAATAGAAGGCTGAATGATACTGAAAAATTTTCCACATCACTGTTGACTCCATGCAAAGGTGAAACTAGACACAGATTATTGCCTCTCCTTGGGTAACAGTGGAATACAGGAAGGCCAGTACAATAGAAGCCACTGCAGCCTAGCTCCAGGTGCTGTCTTTTGTACTGTCCTTTGCCTCTTTTTGTCAAATGGAGTATTTAGTGTGATAGAGTATCTAGATCAAACACCTAAACAAATGGGTATTTTTTACTTATTTTACAAAGATGCTTGAAGGGTCAAGATTTTTAAAATGTCTTTTCTTTTTTTAAGCACTTTCTAGTGCAGTATAGAGTGGGACAATCACCTCCCTTGTCCAGCTAGCTATGCTGTTCTTGATGCACCCCAGGACACGGCTGGCCCTTTTGGCTGCCAGGGCACACTGTTGACTCATATTCAACTTGCCGTCAACCCAAACCCTCAGATCTCTTTCTGTGAGGCTGCTCTCCAACCTCTCATACCCCAATTTGTATATATAACCAGGATTACCCCATTCCCCTTAGACATTCTGGCACTTGCTTTCGTTAAATTTCATACGTTTGGTGACTGTCCAGCTCTCTAGTCTAACCAGATCTCTCTGTAAGGGCTCTCTACCTTTGATGGAGTCCACAGCTCCTCCTAGTTTAGTATCATTGGCAAACTTACTTAATGTACATTCGATTCTTGCATCCAGATCATTTATAAAACAATAAGGAACACTGGCCCTAAAATTGAGCCCTGGGGAACCCCACTGGTGACCAGCTGCCAGCCTGATGTAACCCCATTTACTATAACTCTTTGAGCCCAACCTATCAGCCAATTGCTCACTCAACACATTATGGACTTGTCAAGCTATGTAATGTATGTTGCATCAGAAAAAAAGATGTATCAAATGCACAATACTCAGAACTTTTTTCACAAATATTTTTTTTCCCTAGGAAGATTATGCTTTCTTATAGTAAGACCTGGTCATCATCAGGGACAATATATAGTTGTACCTGAATAGAAAAGTTGTCAAAAGTCCAAAGGATATCCCTATTTATGAGCTAGGAGGTGGACATTTAAGGCAAATTGTTTAAAACATAAATAAAGATAATGTAAACAGTTTTAAACGTTAATTTGCCGCTTAAGGAATAATATTGTGAGTGTTGCAATTTTTTTTTCTCATTTGGGTTCTTGAAGAATATTTTTCTTCAATGTTAAAACAAATATTTGTACTCATACATTACTTGTTGTTTGACTTTATTATTCTTACCTGTCAAAAGTGATCTTAATGGAATGTCCTGGTCTTGCTTCAATCACCCATTCACAATTAAGTGAGTCCTTATAATATCCTGGCCACCCTGGTGGTAAGATAACACCACTTGATGCTGTCAAATGTCCACCACATGGTGCTGAAAGAAAAAAACACGTATACTTTTATCATACACAGTATTTCTAATATAGTATTACACATTCAAAGAACTTACAAAAATGCAATTAAAAAGCATAGGACAATAAGTTTAATACACAATACAACTAAATTTTCTACATTGTGTTATGAGCACTTTGTTTTCTTCAGAATCGTAAGTCCTGAAATATATCTTACCATAGCTTATTACTCTATACATATCTTAATACACAGAGCATGGCACTTCCTTCTGTTGAAAAGCACATTATCTCATTAAAACTTAATGTGTCATCATTTTTTAGATCAAGTATGATTCCACATTTATGTGAAAATATCAAATAAATTGTTCCAAGTAATTTATAGTTAATTATTTTTATTGTACTATGCAATCTAATACCTCTTTGAGTAATCATTCAGCTCAGTGGAACTGATTATTGTAAATATTCCATTGAATCATAGAACGATTGAAGCTGGAAGGGACCTCTGGAAATCATCTAGTCCATCCCCTGCTCAGTACAGCAGATTGCACAGGACCATGTCCAGTCAGGATGATGCCCTCCCTCCAAAGGCAGACACTCCACAGATTCTCTGGGCAATCTGTTCCAGTGTTTGTTCATTCTCACAGTGAAAGTTTTTTCTCATGTTTAAACAGAATTTCTTGTATTTCAGTTTGTGATCATTGCCTTTTGTCCTGTCACTGGACACCACTGAGAAATGTCTGGCTCCATCTTCTTCACACTATCCCATCAGGTATTTATAGACATTGACAAGATCCCTCCTGAACCCTGAGCCTTTTCTTCTCCAGTCTAGACAATCCCAATTCTCTCAACCTCTTCTTGAATGACAGATGCTCCAAGTCCTTAATCATCTTTGCGAGCCTCCGCTGGACTCACTGTAGTATGTCCACACCTCACTTGTACTGGGGATCCCGGGACTGCGCACAACACTCCTGATGTAGCCTCACCAATGAGAGAGGGAAAGGACCTGTCATGTCCTCTCAGCCCAATTCTCCCGCCTCTCTGTCAAGGTGCCTCTGAACAGCAGTACAAGCATATGGTGTATCAGCCACTCCTCCCAGTCTTACATCATCTGCAGTCTTGCTCAGAGTGCACTCTGTCCCAGCATTCTGAATGTCCCAGCATTACTGAAGATTTTAAACAGTATTAGACCCCGTATTGACCCCTGGGGTACACCACTACGGACTAGTCTCCAGTTGGACTTCCTGCCATTGACCACAACCCTATGAGCCCAACAGTTCAGTCAGTTTTCAGTCCACCTCCCTGTTCACTTCTGCAGCCCATACTTCATCAGTTTGCCTATAAGAATCTTACATGTTACAGTGTCAAACACCTTACTAAAACTGAGATAAAAAACATCAATTACTCTCCCCTCATCCATCAGGGCAGTCATCTCATCACAGAATGCTATCAGGTTGGTCAGGCATGATTTCCCCATCATAAATCTATGCTGACTGCTCACAGGCACCATCTTGTTCTTCATAGTTTGGAAATGGTTTCCAGAAATATTGCTGCATCACTTTTCCTAGCAATTGAGGTGAGACCTGTAGTTCCTCGGATGCTCCTTCTTTCCTTTCTTGAAGATAGCTGTTTGCATTCTTCCAGTCCTCAGGAAACTCCCTCGGTTAAATGACCGTCCCAGGATGATTGAGAGTGGCCTTGTGATGTCACTGGCTGGCTTCCTCAGCGTTCTTGGGTGCATACCATCAGGCTCATTCCTGTATGTTCTCTAACTTGATCCTCCACCATAAAAGGGGACCAAGGGTTGCAACAGGGCTATGAAAGTAACGGCTAGACAGGGAGCATTTTTCAGAGCAGGATCAGAAGACTTTGGTGCAGGATTAAACGATAGCAGAAATGACTGAACTAATTTTGGGAAACGTGAGTCCCTTAAAAAATTCAGCTGTCATAGCACAGGGCTTTGGAATGCTATATTTTAACAAAGGCTACGGAGCAGTCTTAAACAGGAACATTTTCAAGGTCAGGTAAATTTATCTTAGTATCATTTGTATTACCCTCAAGTAGTCAGTTGTATCATTATCAGCAAATTCCATATTGCAGTACAGGAAATCTTGTCACTTTTCCTCTGTTTCTCTAAGTAGTGACAAGCAAACCTATTATACCATATGGAAATGAATAGTAACATGAACTTGTGAGTACCAAATTAATATTCCTAATTTTGATTCAATGTTTTTAACAACAAAAACATTGAACTCAGAGAGGTTATTTGATTTCATTCATGACTTGTGCTTGTCTCTGGGAAGTTTTTTCCAGATTTAAGAAAGTGGGGGGAAAAAAGCAACCCACAAAACACAAAACATACACACTGAATTGTCTCTGGGGCAAAATGATTGGCCAGAAAAATGGCACTTACATTACAAGTGTATAGTTAATGAAGAATGGAATTTATTCCATGGTAGTTTTTTAAATTAAATTTTTTCATATTAAAAACAAGAACAACCAGAAGACTGTTGATCCTCACCTGATTGTAACACATCACTTACTTCACATATTTCAGGTGGTGCTTATAGAGATTGTTAAGTATACAAAGACACTGAGCAGAGCAAGAACAACAAAACCCAGCAATTGTTCAGAAATCTCAGACAACAAGAAGCAAATTATCTCTAAACTAACTAGCAAGGATACTTAGTCCATACTGTAATCCAAACCCAGAAACTCCTTCAATTACCAACTAGAAAGAGAATCCACATCAGAAAGGAACACATCCTGAATGTAACTTAAAAGAACATTTCCTTCTATACCAAAACAAACAATAGGCAAAATCTTAAAAAAAGTCTCATAGTTTAATCCTTTCCTCATTAAAAACTAGGTAAACATTCTGCAAGATTCAAAGAAAGGATAACTGAGGGGTACTTATCTATTTTCTTAAAGAGTAATTTCTGTATTTTTTTTCTCTATCATTTTTTTCTAAAAGTGCTCATCTTGGGTCCTTTATTTATGTGTTTGTGGAAATAAAATTACACAAAGATTACACTGAATACTTTAACAATTGTGTATAGAGTTTCAAAATGAGAAAACATCTTTTGATGAAGAACCTTGCCCTACTCCCTGCTTTGGAGTGGGCTGGTTTTGCTCTAGGCAAAATAACCTGCTCCACTTCATAACTCATTACATGCCTTAATCAGGATAAGAAATCCTGCTAGTACAACATCTACGTTCACATACACTACTTCTATCAGGCTGCTAAAATGTTTTTTCCAGTATCTCTAAATTTTCTTAGGAACACATAGTCATCTGAGAACTGAGTTGTCAAATTGCCCAAATAACAAAAAACATGGAAGTGATATGATCCAGATCCTTAAGTTACTGCAATGACACTGGAAGTAATGGAGGTGTGAGATTTACACCAATTAGAAGGTTTGGATTAGTTTCTTCAAAAAAGTATCATTTAATTGAGTGACTGTATATCTATTGTTTACTAAAAGACATACAATTTTTTGAAAGTTACTTTTAAAAGACACACTCTAGTCATTTATTAAATAAAAATAAATAAATAATATTCATATGTCTTGCCTTAGGACCCATCACTGTCAAGCACCAAGGAGTCAGTCTACTTTTTCTTTTTTTTTCACACTGTATTTCATACTAAAGAGAGATTTAATCTTAAGTATAGCTCATCTTACTCTGTTTATTCACCTAGGCAAAAACAAGCAAACAAATTTGGAAATTTTGGGGAATATAATGAATATTAAACATAGCTCTGATTTTCACTATATTTCTCAGGAAAAAATGTACTGCACATTAATATGTTATGTACAGAAATCCAGGTATACTGTTGTTCTGAGAAAAGCAAAGGTGCAAATTTTTTAAAAATACATTTAAATAGAAACTTTACTTCACTTTTCTATGTTGTAGATAATTATGTTCTTCAGTATACTACAGCCAAAACTGTTATAACAGCTATAACTCACAACTGAGTAATGATGGTGACAATCAGAACTTGAAAAGAATAGCAACCAGTTTTTTAGAATGCTAATTTATTCCAAGAATATAAAAGCAAGCTATCTTGTGTCTATTATTGCTCTCTCATTTGACTGGAAGAGTGTTAAAATAAGACAAATTAATAACTTCAGCTAAAGCAGTCTTATTTATGTGCAAATTGTAAAAGTAAGCTAAATTTAAATAGTCTCATTATTCAAACTGTAGGTGCAAAGTAAAAATTATGCCCTTACCTTCACAACGTGGGACAGTAGAGCTCCATACTACATTTCCATCTTGCATAATACATGTTATGGATTCAGAGCCTTGGGTCTTCACAAAGCCATCATCACAGTGGAAGGAAACAGAACTTCCCAGAAGGAATCTGTCTCCAAAACGCCTCCCATTTATAGGAATGCCTGGATCATGGCACTCATTCTGACCAAAAGCTGATAAAAACATAGTAATAGTAATAACAATGATAATAATATTAGTAATAATAAAACCAACAAACACTCCTCTAAACTTTTTTTTGTTGTTTTGGTGTTGGTTTTTTTTTAGGGGGGAATAACTTTTCAGTTGTAATATAATAACTCACAATATATAATACAATATAATTGAAAGTATAGAAAACTCCTCAATAAAAAGTCAGCTTTAAATCCAATGACATTCACACAGATGCAACATAGTTCAAATTTGGAAGCTTCTTAGTTAGGTGTGGCTTAGATACACAAGACCACATTGTTCTTAGATTTCCCTCTGGACAAAATCCAGCTGTTTCCAACACCTTGGCCCTGAACAAACACTGTTAATTGATTATCTTAATTGACACAAGATAGGAACAAGCGCAAGATGTGACAAAGACAACTTTATTGTCAATTAACTTCTTCTATAAATTTAGAAGATAATTTCTTCAAAAAAAAAAAATCTCTGTAGAAGTAATGTCTTTGACTAATAAAACTTCTAGGAGAGTTAGCAGTCCATAGCAAATGTAATAATGTTTTCTGCATGACGATGATGTTACTAGAGTTTTCAATTGAGAATACTGTTGACTAATATCCTTTCATATCAACAAAACAACAGATGGCTATCTGTAGCCAGATATTTTTTAGCCTGATTTCCCAAACGGGAAAGACTTATGCTTTCAGTAGCTCTCTATATGTATGTGACTGCTAGGTCCACATTTAACAACTTTTGAACTTGTTGACCAGTTGCAACTAAATTTTGTACATTTGAGAATTTCATTCTCAGATACTATGTTCTTAAAATTCTTAAAGAAACTGTAGCCAGAGAGAAAAACTATTCTTAAATCAGTCCACTCTATAGAAAAGACTTCTGCATGAGATCAGCTATGTTCTTAGACACTAGAAAAAACACAGAGGGTAACTATTATGGGTATCCCACACTCTATATTGATAGGGGTCTGTATTCTTAGATACCACACCATCTAACTGGAAGATAAAATACAAAAGCAAAGCAGGTTCCCAGAACTATTTATTTGCAATGATATTCTAGTTGCTTTTTATACTTCTGTGCTTTTCAGATGAGCATCTCCATACTTGGGATCTAAGCTTGACATCTTTCTGAACTTACTCCTGGTTCCATTGAGAAGTATATTAAGTTACTTGCACTGGATGCTTTGATCTGGATGATCTGGGCTTTAGTTAAGTGCTCTGCATTTATGCAGTGTCAGCCAAAAAGGCCCTTAAATAATGAAGGGAAATCTTCAGCACTATCATAATTAAAATAAATAAATTATAAAGATTCAGATAAGCTGGTGAATATCAGGAAGACAGCTGAAAGCAGTGCAATTATACAAGCATTACAATTTACTTCTGTATTATAAATAAAAACATGTTCTATTTTTCATTATTATAAAAGATAGCTTGATTTTAAGACTAGGCATAAAATAAAAGCAGAGGTTCTTACTTGTGTAAGTGATATTAAATCCTCTTCCAGTGGTAGAGTGATCTGACTGAAATTCAAGTCTTACTATGTGCCCACTGCTAGCCAACTGAGAAGGGACCTCATTGCCAGAAAATGTGCCAAGAGGTGGTAGATCTGAAATCCCATCATCTTTTACTGTAAGGTAGTCAAATTGAGGTTCTACATCAAAGTCGTTGAAAATCAGATGGATTCTGCTTCCTGGCTCTGAGATAATTAACCAAACACAGTTCATATTGTTCCCATACTCCTCAGGATAATTTGGAGAAAGAATAATTCCAGACGGTGTGGTGAAGTTGAAGAAACACGAGACTAAAGAAAACAATAATAGATTCTCAAAATAGTATCCACAAACATTATTAATGCTTGTCTTTCTATTCTTTATTCTTGTGGAAAAGGATGCTTTTGAAACCTGGATGTCAAAACTACTACACATGCAATGTGCAAATGTTTAAGACTGTCGAACATTTCTCCAATGTAATGTGTCAGCCTTGCATGTTTTTATTGCCCCAAGTGAGGCTAAGTGACTGCACCAGGGCCTGCAAGAGATTACTGGAAGCGTGTAGAGAATGCCAAAGAAAACAGAAGTAATGCCTGATGTGTCAGAATTTGGAAAAATTGGCAGGTTTGTTCTGAAATGAAAATGCAACCTCCAAATTTAAATGTGATTTTTTTTCTAAAAGGAATATGCATGTAAATGTATTTAGCAATCCAAAAAATCAAGCACAAGGGCCAGTTTGGTCTGTAATACACAGAGTTCATGTCGATGTAAATAACATTAGAAATTTAGATGTGCCTCAACCAAGAACTCTCAAGAGTATATAGTACAAACTTATTTTACCCCTACTTTCTTTTCAATAGCACAGGGCAACTAAACAAAAATGATTCATGCCTCTCCTCCTTTTTCACTCCTTTGGGCCAGTTTTCTTTAAGACAATTCCTAACTGATTTCAGAATCATGAGCTTGTGGCCAGTACTTTAGTGAGAAATACAATACATTCAGTAAGAGGAAAGCTCACTGCATATTAATTAACACAAAGGATAACCACTACTCAGCCCTTCAAACATGTCAAACTGAACTCAATATTTGTAAATAGATATTCTAAGTTTAGGTTCCATTATCTTTCATAGGGCATGTGCACATCAAACAGTGGAGCACAGTAAAATATTCCACATTATTACTAACAGAAACTAATATATCACCCAATGCAATACAACACCATGAAGAAACACAGCTTCTATTTTCAAAGGGAATTGCAGCTGCACTGTCTCCATGCCCAGGCCTTACATGCTTAGACACATTTCAGGTTTGCATGGGCATATAGAGATTACTTCCAGTCCAAAGCAAGCTTACTTAGCTTGGTAAGTCCTGTACCAATACAGCTGCAAAATGCATGTATGCCCAAGTAGAATTGGACACCTCACTAAGGTTGTTTTGAAAATCCAGTACTGAATTATAAGACTCTTTATAGGAAAAGGTAATGTGGTCTGGAGAACTAAAGTACCTAATATAGTTGGGTACTAAAAAGATTTACTCTATTTTACCACAGAAGAAGAAGAAACAAGAAGAGTAAAAAAAAAAAAAACAAAAACCTCTCTATTTAAATCCCTCTACAAGCTTACCTACAAACATATTTTATCTTTTAAAACAAAATTCACAATTAATGATCTTACCTACACTTTTTCCATGTTGGATATCTTTATATTCCTTATATTCATTTTCATGCTTTATTAAGATATCAGAAAAAAACCCCAATCTTTTCTTATGTGGATCTGCAGACTGCTTTGCACTGCCAGAATCAATGTGTATGTGCCACAGAGTACTTCTGAACACTTATATGCTATTAGGAATTGCTCATTTAGAGTCTAATTCAACACACATTTACATTAAGAGTGTTAAATGGTTCAATTAAATGTAAACCGAGGGGAAAGAACATTCTAAAAAGTCCTACGTGATTTTACCCATAAATGAGCTACTATTGAGCCAACTAAAAAAAACCCCATGTGACTGAAAAAGTCTTCAGGGTCTTCTGAAATGTTTTCCTGCTGGCTAGTCACAAATGCTAAGAAAAGCAAGAGGCTAAGGTCAGAAAAATAATATAGAAAAAAAAAATTTAGAATCTTACAAACACAGCTGGGTTTGTTGCCAGACCACTGGTTGTTTTGTTGACATGTAATCGTTCTCTCTCCCACCAGTTCAAAAGCTGCTTGACATTCAAAGGTAAGTGTGTCTCCATGCAGAAAACTGCTGCCAGTCCTTTTTCCATATGATGGAATTCCAGGGTCTCCACAACCTCCCTTCTCAATTTCTGAATATCAAAAAAATCAAACACAATAATAAGGAAAATATATTTGCAAGCAATTTATATGTCAGTGTCAGAAGTGCTTTCAAAATATTTGGCATTGTGCCTTAAACTAATATTTACAGCTGAAAGTGAACTACAGGTAAATGTTGTAAAACCACCTCCAAGATGACTTAAGATCTAAAGTCTTTTCACAAGCTAATAACTTCCATACCTGCATTGCTGAAGATAAAAAAATGCTCACGTTTAACTGCATGGCTGAACTGAATTACAGCATATTTGGGGGTAAAATTATAAAGCCATAGTCTCCATTCTATCCATGGAGATAGCCTATGTGTAGATCCTATTTCCGGTAATGAAGTGCTAGTAATAAAGAATCTATCTTAACTCTCACATCTGCAATTCCATTTATAAGGCTATTAGTAACATGATTAAAAGCATATAAATTACTGATAGCATCAATGAATTTCATTTTAAGCACTAAAATATAATGAAAACAAAACTGAGGAATTATTTCTTAATCTCCTACTTCAAATTAGAGCCACATTCTTCTCAGCTGCATTCAGTTACGTTGAAAAAAGATTAACCTTTTGGATTATACTTTCTAGATATTCTCTAGGACATCTGCTATTGAAATTATTTAATTTGTACATACTGAATGTAAATATACAATATAAGAATATAAAAACTCAAGTCTTATGAAATTTATGAATAACAAGAATATTAGGAAAGGAATTGTAAATATTAATTGCTTGTGATAGAAATGCTGAATCATCTTACAAATTGCTATACACATGGCTGTTCGTCAAAAATGAAGGCTCCATTTCTTTGCCATTACATTTAAAGCAGTTTTATTATTTAATTTCCATTTGAGCAGCAAAACTAACAACAAAGCACTGCTGGTTCTACAAACTGTGTTGCTACATCTGTAGTAAAATTATGCAAATCTCATTTGAATGAAACTAGTAATAAAATGCTTGTTATTTAATTTTTTCCCAATTCAATCCAAGGTATGAAATCTGAAACATTCAAGATAACAAGAAAATTCGATTCACTGAATAGTATTAAATATTAATATAATTTAACACCATTAAAAATGTCTGCTGTCAAATATTGTTAAATCTACTAATGTTAAATCCTGGCAGAAGTGTATATCTTGACACGCTAACTCCAACAGAAATTTTAGGTGCAGGATAGCATTATTATGATATGTGAAGTCAATCCACTACTTTTACACCCTGAAAGCAGTTGTGAACAGATTGTTGACAAACATCTTCAGAATAGTATGTCACGTATTTCACAAAACAACAGGTTATTCATCAGGATAAAAAAGAGGTATAAATGTCTTTCTTGGTAATCTTAAAATCAAGCTTTGAAGAGAAAATTAGGAGTAACTATTCCATCTATGAATTCAAAGCAGTTCCAGAGTCAGTTGTTTTATTTAAATAATTTTTCTTACCAGAAAGCTAGAATTTATCAAATGAATGAAAACATCTGCCAAAAAGTCCAGTACACAAATATAAGAAAACACCAGAAAATAAATATCATAAACAATATTTATAAATAAAGATTCAAAATTATATGTATTTACAAATGCTTTAATGTAGTTTCACCTGCCTGCTCCTACTGAGACATTGATTCCTACTGCCACAGTGGAGCACTGGAAACCTGAGTGTTCCCAGCTATCCACAGCTCCACATCCTACATGAAAATGTGGGGAGCTACAGAAAATCAGAACCCACGTTTTAATTGCATTTTAATAGTTCATTTCCTCCACTGATAGAAGAGCAATATCTAATCCAGCATGTGAGAATAATCATAAACACTCTTTTCCAAAAACCTGTTGTTTCTCAAAGATCAGGGCAATACTGTTTCAGGCAGGAGTGTCAGGAGGCAAACTGTCTGCAAGGTTTTGCAAAGGCATTCCTGAAGATTTATCCCTTAAAAGAAACCAACAAGTGTTTCTTTCCATGGTCTATAGAGAAAGTATCAAAATATCTTTAATTAATGAATTTACTGAAGTAGAAGACAGATCAGGATGCTTTCTAACTCTCAGGAGATACACCAAGCCCTAGGAGAGGGGTATGGATCAGTGAACCAAAACCTTTATCAGAAATTACCATGAATTAAGCTTTCTGGCAGGTTGAAAATTCCTTTTTTATAGGAAACTAGTACAGTATGTCTTTAGTCAACACCGAGCTCTTACTGAGGAAGGCAAGAATGCAGGATAAACCTTGGAGACTAAGCAAATACTTTGTGCTTCTGAGGATGTCTTATTTGCATTTTGACAATAAAAAGGTTGAAAAATTCTATCCAGCTCTAGAAATCTACATCTTCACAAACCTTGAAGTGAAGACTATCTATCCTTAACAGAAAATGTGCTCTAGTCAAAACCAAGTTAGTCAGGTTGACACAAAGCACCCATTAAATTTCAATGGATAGCATTCACTTCTGTCTTCAAGTTTCACATAAATTTCCTGGTATGAAGATTTACTATAACATGCATATCATATCACTCTTATTCATATTACATTACAGGTGTTAATAACACAATTTTAGATCAACTAATATTCGACCAATTAATTTTACAGTGAGACAAAGGTCTGTTGTTTTCACACCACAAAATCAAAAGAACACCCAACTTAGATAGTTTAACAACTTTCCATGCACTTTTTCAGTTCAAGATCTGTCTTTGCTCTTGTATTACAATGAATTAATGCATACATTAGACAATTTCCTTCCAAAATATTTGAAAAAATACCAAAACCCCAAAAAGCTGTGTCTTAGATGACTGAATTTCTCATAGATAAACTGATTGCAGCTCTGTAGTGGTTAAGATGCCAAAACTTCCCTTCCCCATAAAAAGATAAAAACTTTTAAGAGTAATCTCAGTTTTAATGTCCGAATTTTTAAATTTTTTATTGAAGTATTATAAAATATAAATCCATGTAAAAATTCTGCCAGCAGCAGAACACAATATTAAATATTCACTTTCTTAGTGTTCAGGAAATCATGAGGGAGTGACAAAACAAAGCAGATTAAGTCAGATGCAAGACTGTCTGTACATTTTTTTTTAGTCAAGAGCTAGGTTTCCATCACATATATTACTGACAGACCAAAACTTAGGGAAGACAGAGAAGGCCAGATTCAGAGGGTTGTATTTATAAATAAAGAATACTATTTGTTTAAAAGTAGATCTAGAGTAATACAGCCATGTAATGATTCCCAATATTTTTCTGCCTTCTGGGATTTAACACAGCTTTTTATTTCATTGTCTTTTCTGGTACCTGTCCAACTTCCACAGATTTGATCAGAGAACAAATTTTTTAAATGTCTAAATTCAGTTGAGGTGCATTGTGCCTATTACTGCAACACTTGCACCAATTATTCTGCTTCATAAATTGCAAAGAGGCTATATATCTGCTAAAAAGACAACATTCTTCTGACCAAGTCAGCTGGAGCTATGTTGAGAAAAATCCTACGGGACAGAAAAGGTTCTTAAAATGACAAACATGAAAATAAAAGCTGTGCTAACCTATTTAAAGTGTGGCAATAAAACCCCTATTCCTTTAGGATTATTCTGTGTACTCATTCAATGTTGGACTTTTTTTGATCTGAGTCCTTAGAGCTGTGTGAAGTTCATCAAGTTTGCAAATAAGATCTCAAGCTCAAATTTAAACATCAGCTTCCTCTGGTTACCAAAATATTAACATTGATCTTATTCAGTTGTTTCTGGCTTTCATGTACTCTCTTTCAGTAGCCTGGGGAAAGAGACTTTTCATCTTGTTTGTAAACTAGAAATATTTACTCAATTTCAGGGAACAGTCTCTCTTTAACGTTAGAAGAATTACAAGATTAGATTTCTGATGAGAAGATCATATCCCTCCGAATTTAATCAAAGAAATTTCTGATGCTGTGTTTGCTTTCAAAGGAAGAAACATGGCAATTCTAAAATGATATGAAGCATCTAAATAAGTGTTATGACTACTATTTGAAAGGTGTCACATTGCAATTCAAGTCTTTTTGATGAAAAAGCTTTGCATTACTTTGGCCCCAGTATCTGAAATATATAATAAAATACTTCATAGATTATAACATTTGGCAGTCTTGAATGTATTAGTCATGGTAGCAATTTACCTTTTTTTCCCTTGTTACTAGATTACAAATACACAGTTAAAATGAAATTCTTCATGCCACTGTTTTCATTCATACTACCCAATATTCTAGCTTAGATGATTAGTGAATCATCATCAAATCACTAAATCTGTAGCTAGATACAACTTTTACCAGTACATTATTAATAATATCCTCACACTTTAATAATTCAGATGTACAAATACAATTTAAATTAGTGTTTTAAACACATGTGGGTTACACAACAATCCATTGTTTCAAAGAAGAGATACATAAATAAACTTCAGTAGTTCAAGGTCTATCAGAAAGTTGAAGTCAATACCTCCAAAACCTAAAATCATGAATTTGACACCACTTCATAATTATCATCTTAGCTCTAGTCAAGATCATAGGTTAAGGGAAGCTGAGAACTGTCACAGGTATACATTTACAAAAAAAAAGAGATAGTTTGGAAGTTTATTTCCATGTCAGATAGGACCTTTCCAGTTTAACATCTAAACTCTTATATGAAAGGCCACAGAAACTCATGTTTTAAATACAAGCAGACTGATAATTTAGTTTATTTCCTCTTATTCCTCATATCTCCCTGTGTTAACAGTCATAATACCCATCAGAGTGGAATCTGATTTAAAAATACAAATGGAGAAACCTTTGTACAAAGAGAAACCCTTATACAAAGAGAAGGGATAGAGAGATATGCTCAGGACTGCAGAAGAGGACATATGTTGAAGAGTTATATTATATATATGATTCCTGCAAAGGAACACGGTAAAAACTACTGAAAGTGAAAAATATAAATCAAAACTAATAGAAAAAAAAATTCAGATATCACATAACTGGACTGTAAAAGTGGCTATTAAAGCTAAAATGAG